AGCCAGTGAGCCCACTGATGGCTCCCCTGGGGGGACATTGGGGGTCATCTGTCCTCTGAGGCAGAGAGGCACCAGGTGACTGTGGCCAGTGGCCACGGACTCTGCTCCAGGGCGGGCTGGCCGCTGTGCCTGGCCACCCTGCCCACGCTGCCCGCGCAGGCCCGGCAGAGCGAGTGCCAGTCCTGGCAGGCCAGCGTGTCTTGGCCAGGTGTGCCCGGGGTCCCTGGCTCCCTCCAGGTGCTGGAGATGCCTCTTTCTTTGGCCCCTAAGGACACAGCCACCCCCATGGGCTATTATTCCTGGTCCCCTGTCACCATCCAGCTGCACATGGTGTCCTAGAAAGAGGTTCCAACAGACTCAGCCCAAATCCCGCCTCTGCCACTCTTTAGGCTTGACATTAAGGAAGTTAATGAGCCTCTGTTTCCTCATCTGTGACTGAAATGGGCAGTGAACCCCTCAGGTGGTAGACCTATTAGGGTTAGATGAGATAGCACATGCCACGCATAGGCAGATTGGGGTCTGGATTGAGATCCCAGCCTTGCTGTGTGTCCTTAGGCCTGTTCCCTAGCCTCTCTGGTCTCAAAGTCTTTGTACCACAGCAGCTGGATGGTCTCTAGGGTCCCACAAGCCAGGCTTCCTGCCCATCGTGCCACCCATGGTCCCACCTGGGTGACCCGCCCCAGGCTTGTCACACCTTAGCGGGGGAGCCCTTCCCCCACTAGCCCACCTTCTTGTAGCTGGAGCCTGGGACTGGGGCAGGGCCTGTGTCAGTGGGGATCCAACTGGCAGCCTGGCATCTCTGTGGCTGGCATGGGCCCCAGCCTTGTCTCTGCCACCAACTCCAGGTAGTAGCTTCTCAGAGGGCAGGACACAGGGAGGATGGGGTGCAGGGAGGTGGAGGCAGAAAGAAAGCTAGGAAGACAGGAATCTGACTCACCGAGGACTGACAGACAGACAGACTGCCCTTCCACAGTGCGTCCATGCCCATCCTCAACAGACATCCGCTCATCACAACGCTCACCACGAGGTCAGAGGGCGAGTGTTGTCATTGCCATCTGCAGACGGGGTGAGGGAGCCCAGCGCCCGAGACCGCTGGTGCTCACACTGCCGGTAAATGGCTGTGCCGCGAGGACACCCTGACCTGGGCTCACGACACCGGCCTCTGATGGGCGGCGGCCAGGGAGGGTCGTGAGGCGGGGGAGGGTCTCGAGGCGGGGGAGGGTCTCGAGGCGGGGGAGGGTCTCGAGGCGGGGGAGGGGCGGGGGGGGGGGGGGGGGGGGGGGGGGGGGGGGCCGGGGGGGGGGGGGGGGGTCGGGGGGCGGGGGAGGGTCGCGAGGCGGGGGAGGGTCGCGAGGCGGGGGAGGGTCTGGAGGCGGGGGAGGGTCGCGAGGCGGGGGAGGGAGCTCAGCCCGCAGCTTCAGAAACCGGGCCCTGTGTACGGGGCTGGCGCTGCTGGCTGCTGCAGGGGCTACCCCAAGGAGTGAGAATCCTGGGAAGAGAAACAGAGCAAAGACTTGGGACATGTGAGGTCGGCAAGGCCTGGGGGGCAAGGGGAGGCTTTCTGGAGGACAGCGGTTTTGAAACAGGCTCCAAAGGATGGGGGTTCTTGCAATCAAAATGGGAGAAACTCGACTCAAATCTATTTGTACAACGAAAAAGGGGAGTTACGGTTCATCCGGGGGTCCTCACACAATGCCAGGAAGCGACCAGCTCCTGCCGGCTCCCTCTCTGAGCTGTGCATGTTCCCCGGTGGCAGCCCCTGAGCACGGCCTCGGGCTCGCAGCTCCAGTGGCAAGGGAGAGGGTGTTACCTCCGTAGGCTGGAGAAAAGTTCCAGGACAGAGCCAATCGGGCCAGCCTGAGTTGCGTGCTGGCCCGCCGGAAGGGCTGGATGTGGCTGGGGTGGGTCCCGGTGGGGGCCAGCAGGAGGGCGCATTTCGCCTGCTGAGAGCCGGCCAGAGGATTAGAGAGGAGACCAGTGGCAGCTGAGGGCAGGAGGCAGGATGTGTAGTGAACCCAGTGACCTTTTCCAGGGACCTGGGACTTGACCCCGAGGAGACAGGAGAGTAGTTGTCCCTGAGGAGACAGTGTCCTGTTAGGCCTGGGGGAGTCAGGGGAATTGCAGGTCTGAGTTTGGATCTGCTTCCCAGCTACGGCCTTGGGCATGACGTCTTAAATGTTCAGGCCTGTTTCTTCACCTGACAAATGGGCATAGCAAGGTCTGCCTGGAAGCGTGGCTGTGAGAAGTAGGGTGACGTGTGTGGGACGCGGCTGCGGCGGTTCAGCATGGCCTCGGAACAGGGCGGCGGCGGCTGGGCTCGAAGACACTTGCACCAGCATTCGCCTCCCTCCTCTTAGTAGCTCCCACAGTCTCTGGGGGGGGGAGGGGACTGCTCAGCAGGTTTCACACACTGGCCCCGAGTCACAAAGCTGGAAGTTGACAAAGCCAGGACACTTGCCACGGTGCCACGGCACCATGCTGGGTGGATCGCAGGGTTGAGGGGTTGTGTTGCCCAGGAGTTCTCTCTTGGGTTAAGGACGGTCCTAGCTGGCCATTCCTTCCCCTGTAGCCCACCAGGGTTGCCCTGGTGGGTGCCAAACCCACCTTGGGCCCACCACTGATATCCACCCAAGAAGCCTCTTGAGGGTGGGGCCCATGGGCGCCCCAGCGGAGCGGATGGAGGAGTGCTGCCCTTCTCCCTCTTGGTAGACCTTCGCTTCCCTGCTCCAGGCTTGGGCGGGTAGCGTCACCGTCCACATCCAGCACAGCCTGGCCTGGCCCATCCATTCAGGCCTGCTCATCCTGAGACCCCCGTGACACGGACGTGCTCCCTTGGACGCCGAGTGAGGGTGCCAGCATTCAAGGGGCACCCTTCCCAAGGTCAGGGTCTTCTGTGGTGTGACCTGGCCCCTCCCAATGCCACCCAGCAGTGAGATTCCGCTCTGGCTGCAAGATTGTTCTTCCTTCCTGTGTCCGTCCATGTTCTTGTCTATTTCAGGTGTGAACCAGGCTTGGCTTTGAATAATAGAGACCCCACTCTTAACAAAAGTGAAAAGCCTGTTTCTTTTGCAAAAGTCCTGAGGCAGGCAGTGTGGAGCTGGCACGGAGGTTTTATACAATCCTGAGATACAATCCTGAGAGCTCCTTCCAGCTCACTGCCCGCCCATCCTGGCCTCGTGGTCTAAGGTGACGACTAGAATGCCAGCTACCACCGCTGCACTCCAGGCAGGAAGATGGAAGGAAGATAAAGAAGTGGGCAAATGGCACATGCCCACTTACTTTTAAGAAAGATCCCTAGATACCTTGGCACAGGACACTTCTGCTTGGTCACGTAGTCACATCTACCTGCAGGGGAGGCTGAGGCAGTCTTAGTTCTAGGTAGCCATGTGCCCAACTAAACATCAGGAGCTTGGTTACCGAGGCAAAAGGGAGAGTGAACACTGAGGGTAACTAGCTAGCGCTGTCACCCCATCCACTCAGTGAGCATTTATTAGGAACTCTTGTCCTTGCCCGCGTCCCAGCACTTGCGGCATGGTTAACACCCGAGCTCCTGCTGGGTGCGGACGGTGCCTGGTGTAGGGCGGGTGCTTTTGAGGCAGCGGCCAGCATCACTGCATCACAGTGTTGGGATACGAGCCAGGCTTCTGTGACAGTGGAGCGGAGGGGGCCTGGCTGCAGGGGGTAGGGCACCGAAGGGCATCCTGGGGGAAGGAGTCCACCTGGAAATGTACAGGTCTTTCTTTTTATCAGCCCTGGAGGGCTGGACCACTGGGGGCTAAATGTGGTCAATCGTAGCCATTTTAGGGCTTTATATTACCCCCAAAACTGCCACTCCATCCTACCTCAGCCCTCTCTGGGGGATGACTCTGATAAGTCATCCTCAGCAAGGTGCCAGTGACAATGGCAGCCGAGCACGGGCTCTCTAGGGATGCAAAGTGCAACCTTTTGTTGGAGAATTTGGGTATCAGTCAAGGTGAAGGGGCCAGTTCTGAAGCCCTTGGGTCTTTTTGAAGCGATCATGTTGTGGGCAGTTACACAATTACTTGTGAAACTAGAGAGTAATAATCGATATTATCCGAAACTCCCACGCCTGGCAGGACGGGGGAAGCAGGTGCCTGGCTCCCTTCGGAGAGGATACTGAGGAAGGAAGACCCAGCCTCCAGGGACATCCCTGGACCCGTCCTGGCAGGAGCAGGAGGAAACCAAGAGCCCGGCTGCGTGGCCCTTCCTGGGCCGGGGGGTGGAGGAGGCTGGGGCGGGTCCCCCATGTTGTATGGCTCCTGCCTTTGCCCTCCGGGTTGTGGGGAGCAGGCTGGCCCCGCCCTGGGCCTGGGGAAGTGAGCCTCCACGGGTGACACAGAACATAGCTCCCACCAGACAGGGTGAGCCCACGAGCCTCGGGCCCCTCCGCGGGCTCGCGAAGGCCCCCTCTGGCCCTGGCGTGGGCAGCCAGCAGCACCTCCTCCAGGAGGTCCGCTCCGCCTTCCCCCAGGCGCCCACCCTCGGGCCCCTGCAGCCCTCCGTTGGGCACAGGTGGCCCCGATTTCCACTGTGGTTGGTTGTTCTTGGCCCCCGCTGATCCGTCTGAGAGCCGGGCCCTAGTCCCACTCCGCGTGTCCCCTGTGCCTCGAATGCGGTCCGAGCGCAGTAGCTGTGCGCCAACTAACGGACGCGGGACGGAGGGAAGCCCTGGCTGGCAGGGCGCACCCCCGCAAGGCGGGGCCTGCAAGGGTTAACCGGGAGCCCGCCTGTGGTCTGAGGTAAGCAAGGAGTGTATTTGTTCAGGTAAATAAGGAAGGATTACTTATAATGGGAAACCGGCCCCGGCCAAGTCCTCATCTCGCAGCTGCCGACTTCCTCCCAGCACATTCCTGCACTGCGCCCGCGTCCACGCTGCTCCGCAGACCCGGTGCCCAAGCCTGCCATTGCCCCTGCAAGCCCTCGGCTTGGGTCTTGCCACGGTGCCAGCAGGTAGCCCAGCCCAGGGTGGAGGGCTCCCTACAGGCACGTAGCCCTGAGGCCTCGGAGGGCCTCCAGCGGCCGGCCCGAGTGCTGCCTCTGCCCCCAGCCCTGCTGGCCCCTGGTCCCACCGGCTCCCCGGATGCCTGGCTGAGACGTCGCAGTGGCCCACGCTGCCCACAGCTCCTCCTGGCCCCCGAGGTGGGCGCTGCAGCCGACAACTCCTTGGGCACCAGGCAGCTAAGGGGTAAGTCTCGTAGGAGGCATAGAGTGCCCTGCCACGGGGCCTTTCCCTGCCAGCTGCGGGGCGGTAGGTGGCTGCAAGCAGGACTTGGAAGCACATTTTGCAAGCTCAGAGTTCCTTTCTCAGGCATCAGTGACCCTGTGATCTGGGTCCCTTCACCCTCAGAATCCCGTCCCTCTCCACGTGCTGCCCAACCTGCGTCGCCAGACCAATCCCGGAGGTGGAGTGAGCCCCTTGGGCGCAGCAAGCCCACGCCGAGGCTCCGCGCCGAGCCAGCCCCCGAGACTCAGCCACTTCTGCCTGGCCCGTGAAACACAAGTGGCCCTTCTGCTGCTGCCAGTCCCAGCTGCTATACCAAGGGAAGGGGCTCCCGGGTGCTGGGCCACCAGTGGGCAGGGGCTCGCTGGAACCTTGCTCAGGGCCCGGCCCAGGGTCTGGGATGGAGCAGACAGACAGGCCCAGAGCCTGAGGCAGGCCAGGCAGTGGTGAGCACAGGAACCGGGTGGTCTGGGGCCACTGCCGAGCAAAGCCCCTGAGCGCTTGGACAGCGGGGGGCTGAGGGCCTATGGGCCACTCTGGGCACACAAGGAAAGCAACAGTGGGATCGCTCGAAGGTGCTTGTTTCTAAGATTTGCCAATTCCTGATGGACAGAAGTGGGCGATGGGGACGACAAGGTGGGAAGCCAAAGGGCCTGGGTGACTGGGGTGCCCCCGAGGCTGGCCAAGGTGTGTGCCTGTGCACGTCGGGGTGGGCAGGCACACTGAGCTAGCCCCGATCCCTCACCTCACCCTGCCAGCTGGAGCTCCCCTGCGCCCCTCCCAGGCCACGTGCCCCGAGAGAGAGGTCTGACTCCTTTATGATGGCCACGGCCTTTCCCCTCCTCCCTGGCCAGGCTGGGGCTTGGCCTCATTTCCTGCCCCCACCTCCCCAGTAAACAGCTTCACAGCAACCCCCAATAAAGTGGCATCTCCCCAGCGCCAGCTGCTCGGCTGAGTAACAAAGCAAACAGGCATCCAAGCCGCCCCAGGCCCAAGGCGGCGGGCAGAGATGGGAGGAGATGCCCCACCAGACGCGTGGGCCCAGGCTCGGCTCAACCAGCCCATGGAGCAGAGCTCGCCCCCACCCGCCTGCAGAAGGGGCCAGAGCCCGGGACTCCCGGAGTCTCAGCACCCCGAATGCACAGACAGTAGGGCAGGGGCATCCTCAGAGCTCCCGGGAAGGCGTGTGTGGAGACGGTCTTGGGCTGGATGGGGACCGCCCTGCCCTCGGAGAGCCCGACGGCGAGTGAACGAGCGTCCCCTCTGTGCCCACAGAGGGCTCCGAGCTGAAAACCCAGGCCCTACCAGACCTGTTACTGTGCAGGACAAGTTATGAAACACTGTGATTGTTGCAAGGACCCTCTGACTTAGGGCTTCTCTGCCAACCAACCCTGCGGGAATAGGGCTGCACCCACTAGGTGCTCAATCAGTGCTCAGGACTGTGACCCTGGCAGAAGTAAAAGCCAGGAGGACCCACTTTCTCCCACTGATCGTCGCAGTGCCGTTTGTAGCTCTGAAACAACTGGAGCATGACTTTATGCTAAATGACTTGACAAGACCCTCTGGGTGGACCGCAAGAAAGGAGGGGTGGTGGCCCATGGCCCATATCCTATAACCTTGGGCAGGTCACGTCTCACTGCACTTGCACTGAATGAGAAATGAGAAGCTTAAACAAGGTGTTAAAGGCAGCTTCATGGAGGAGACAACCTGGGGCAGGGTCTTGAAGGCTGTGTAGGAGTCAGTTAGAGGCAGGCTGGCAGGTAGGATTTGCCAGCCTATCTCCGAGGCCTCGGTGGGGGGAGGCGGGTGGGTGGAATTCCTGGCTCTGGCTCCTCCGAGAGGCCAGCGAGGGTGAGTGAGGCTGGAAAGCAGGCGGCCCCAGGGCAAGGGCCACAAGCCTCCCTCCCCACCACCCTCAGCTCTCCCCCAGACTCCACACTTCAGCCCGTCCACTGTGCCCACCATCACTGCCTGCTTCTTCCCTTGTCTCCCTCATGGCTCACCCCATTGCCTCTCTCCTGCCTCTTTCCGGCCCCACGCTCTCCTCTGCTCCCAGGTGCACGCTCAACCTATCCTAATACATAAGGAATTTCCATTCACCCTCCATCTGCATCTTCACAACCCTTCAACCACCCTTGACAGCCCATCTAACAGATGGGACAACTGAGTCTCAGAGGTGGCTGAGTCACTTGTCCCAGTCCCAGAGCTAGAGGGCAGAGAGTCAGGTCTCAAATCTGGTCTGGGACCCTCCCCTTACCCCACCCCCACCCCACCTCATGCCCCACCCTGAGCCCCTAGCCAAGTGAGTGGCCTGTCAGGTGGAGCAACTCTTCCCAAAGCAAACTTTACACAAGCCGAGTTGCCCTGGGCTCTTCCTGACATTTAATGCTGGGCTCCTTCTCCAGGCTCCTTCTCCGGCTAGTTTGCATGTTCTCCGCCTGGGAGGCCCCTGCCAGATTCTCCTCTCCCTCCTTTCAGTGGCTGTAGCTGGGGTGGGGGTGGGAGGGAGCCTCCTCCTCCTCCCCAGCCAGTGTGACTGCTGGGGCCAGATGGGACCAGGGCCTACCCAGGACCATAGAAGGGGGCAGTGAGGTTTCTCTGGGCATCGCCAGAATCGAGGCACCTCTCCCTCTGCCTCTAGCTCTGGGCTAGGGGAGGGCTGGCCGGTGACCGCCCAGGCTAGGGCTCCAGCAGTGAGACTGGGGAGGCCTCTCTGCTCCCAGGGCAGCAAGTTGTCCCAAGGCCTGCTGGGGCCGGGCCCTCCCATCCCCCACGTCTAGCCACCTGCACGCCCATGCCAGGACAGAAGACGGCCTGTGTCTCTGCTGTCCCTGCACCAATGGGAATGGGCCCCCCCCCCAATCCTCTAATAACCCCCCCTCCCGGCCATCTCAACGTCTCTAGAAGCAATTTCTATTCTTAACTTCTCAGGACAGGTTATTCTGGGCTTTTGTCACCGTAGAGTCAGAGTGCCTTTGCTTGGTCCAGACACCCCCTTTCCAAACCTGGAGGTGTGCTGGCCCTAGGATTGGGGCATAAGGCACATGTGGCCCCCAGCCTGTCGGGGCTTTGCAGACTCACCAGCAGGATTGATGGAGCGCGTGCACCCTCGCTGGTCTGTGTGCCCGCGGGGACGGGCGTGGGCAAGGACAGAGGCAGCAGTGACCGCTGTACGCAGCCCTCTCCTAGGCCCTAAGGCCTTCCCACGTCACTGTCCTGCTTGGTGACTTCAAACCCCAGAGACACAACTGTCTTTATGAGCCCCCATTTCACTGACGAGGAGACTGAGGACAAGAGGGTCAGCCAAGGTGCCCCAGCCAGGAGCCCAAGCGGACTCCGTGTGCTCTTGCGCCTTCGAGGACCTGGCTGCCAAGCTGGTGCCAGGCCGTGGGGAGCGGCACCCACAAAACCTCACAGCTCCTGTCCTGCGGCAAGTGCAGGGAGGTGCGGGCACAGGTGCCGGAGGAGGGCAGGGGCGGGGGAGCGGGAGCATGAGGGGCAGGGAGGCCAGGGCGACCGAGGCTTCGGGAGGGGCAGGGCGGCCGTGTGGACGCGGCTGCGGCACCAAGCTGGGGTGTGCAGGCGGTCGCCGGGCAGGCGGGCGGGCGGGCGGTCCCAGGAGGGCAAAGGCCTGCCTGAAGTGAGACACCCTTGCTCATGGTGCACTCAACCAGGGCTGGGTGAAGAAGTGAACAGCAATTTCTGGAAAACCCCCAAAGTGAGGCAGAGCTGTGCCCTGTCCCCACCCCCCAGCATGGCTCACCCCTGGGGGGCCCTGCTGCCTGGAGGGGCTGGGGCGGGGCCAGGCCTGGCGGGCAGTTAGTGAGGGGAGGGACAGCCTGGGGGCGGCCCTGCTTGGCCCCAAGGGTGGGCTGAGTCTTTCAGAGCCTCTGGGCACCCACTCCAGGGACGGTGGGCGCCTGGCCACACGGCATCCCACCGTTGCCCTTCAGCTGTGCCTGCACCTGCCGGGCCCCGAGTGTCCGCCTCCGCCTCTGCCTCCCTCCTTCCCGGTCCAGTCGGGCTGAGGGCAAGGTGAGGCCGTGGGTCACAGAATCCAGACAGTGCGGCCGGAAAAGTCGGGGGTGACTCGCCCCTGGAGAGGAGCAGGAGACTGAGGCCCGGAGGGACCAGGGACTTGCTCAGGGCTCACATTCGGTGGGAACAGGGCAGGACAGCTCCAGAAGCTGAGGCCTCAAGTTCTTTCCAGGCCGTGTCTCCCCTTTGGAGCCGTCTGGAATACGAGGGTACGTTTGGGGCTGAGCTGGGCCCCTGTACCTCCAGGCTGGTGGCACCCATGTCACCAAGGCCCCTCCAGCATGACCCCTGTGGAGCCGTGGTTCTCAGGGGCTGGGGCGGCAGGTGGCCTGAACAGAGCACCCAAAGGATGGTCGGTAGGAGTGACCGTGGGGGTCGGAAGGTGTCAGACCTGCCAGCACATCTGAAAAGAGGGTGGGGCTGAGTCTGGAGTTCGAGTCCCTGCTCAGTCTCATGTGGACACGTGCAGGTCACGGTGCCTTTGTCTGTCGGGCAAGAACGCTGCTGGCTGCGCAGGGCTGGCTGGGAGGGCCCAGCAAAGCAGTTTATTCAGTTTGACCTCCCCCTTGCCCCAGAGGGTCGGAAGTGGTGTCAGACAGGGTGTGTGTGCAGATGCCCGAGGCGCCATGCAGCGGGCTCGAAGGGGGCTTCGCCGGTACAGGTGTGCCGTGGGCTGCTGGCTGCCTGTGGGACCTGCGGGAAGAACAGACCACACCAGGGCTCCTTGGTGCCCCCCGCCCTTCTGTTTCCTGTGCCCCATCCTCCTGCCCCTGCCCCTGCCCCAGCTCCCACTCTCCGGCCCCTCCACCGGCTCCCTGCATCCCGGCCCACACACGACGGCCCGGCCACGCCTGCTGCCCAGGCCAAGCCTCCCACAGGGTCAGGCTCCCGCAAGTCAGGCGAGTGGCCCGGACAGTCTGTGCCCC